ACACACACACACACACACACAAAGTGAAAGCGTGAACAAGGAGAAGAGCAAAGAGGCTAAGTGTTTTTCCTCTGGGAGTAAAGGAAGTTTTATCAGCAAGCCTGATAATTCTATTGGAAATATCAGTTATGGCATTAGTTTTTCAAGTTGTCTATAAATTGGTGCCGTTCCTTAATATCATTTTATCAAGCTGTCAAAATAAGGATAATAAAGGAAAAATTCATAATACGACAGGTATTCATGTAACAGACCACTCTTCGCTCTGAAGTGTCATTCTCACTTTTGTCAAAGTACAGATTGTGTTAGATGATAGTTTTTTGTTTGTGTGTTAAAAGTTGTCCAGGTAAAAGCCCAAGACAATTTTTTGTCATCCAACCTTAAAAATAATAATTGATATATGAAATCATGAAGTCTGAGAGCCATTTGCTTAAATCAAGCTAAATATCTAACCTCTCCTTGGTGCTACTTGATGACTTCACTTTTCTGTTTCATTTCCCAGGAGCTTAGAAACATCAGTGGTGGGCCACCCCATGGGCACCATCGCCACCACTTTGGCAGGTGGGAGCATCCATTTAACCCAAATAGATCCAGAGATCATCATCATTTTCTCAAGCCATATAAAGGGGGGTTCCTACCTCCCCCAGAAGAGAACAATGAATCAGGTGGACCACAACTGCCTCCTCCAGGAGCAAGACATCTTCACCCTCGTTTTGGTACTGATAGAACTCATGTACCTCCTCATAATCATAGTTCTAGTGAGCGTGATCCCCACAAACATCCTCCACATGGACATGGTCCTCATGGATGCCATCCTCATGGACCCCCTCCCCATGGACCCCCTCCCCATGGACCCCCTCCCCATGGACCCCCTCCCCATGGACACCATCCTCATGGACACCCTCCTCATGGACCCCCTCCCCATGGATTCCATCTCCATGGACCCCCTCCTCTTGGACCCCCTCCCCCTGGACACCATCCCCATGGACCCCCTCCCCATGGACACCATCCCCATGGACACCATCCCCATGGACCCCCTCCTCATGGGCACCCTCCCCATGGACATGATTTCCATGACTATGGACCCTGTGATCCACCAACTGATCACCAAGGTACCAAAGATCACCATGGTCACGGTCATGGTCACGGTCACGGTCACGGTCATGGTCCACCACATAGGCACCCAGGTAAAGGGCATTTTCCATTCCATAGACGAAAGATTGGATATGTCTACCGACTCCCTCCACTAAAGGTGGGAGAAGTTCTTCCTTTGCCTGAGGCCAATTTCCCCCGTTTCCCATTTCCTAAATGCAATAGTTCCCTACATCCAGAGATTCAGCCCTTCCCGCAAGCAGCTCTTTCCTCTGACTTGTGTCCTGGGAAGTTCAAGATTGAGTCCCCAGAACTTGCCAACTTTTTTGCATACCCATCTTCAAAATAAAATCTGAGTCTTAAAAGAGAGAAATGACTAATGTTATAAATTAGCATCAGGAATAAAAGGTGACAAATGGAAATTGCAGTCATATTAACTTTTATTTTCATACACAGGGTAAAGCAAAATGTGGGTAGGGAAGGAGATCGTACAAGAAGAGATAGACAAATGGCAAGAAAGGAAGGATCTCACTCCTACAGATCAGAAGTTAATGCTTTCCCTGGTCACTGCATTATTCTAGCTAAATATCTCATCTCCAGATCTCCTGCTCTTTTAGACTTTATTTCTCTAGTTATAGTTTGAAACTTTTCGTGTTCCAGCCAGTCGTATCAAGACTTACTGCATAGATCATTATGAACTTGAGCCACATTGTTGCCTTGTGACTACTTCTAGCCATCTAAATTTCCTTTTGGAAAAAATAATTTCTAAATTCAGTGATGAAGTCAATAAGGGTCTGGCTATAGTTTGCAAAGAAAATTGAGTGCATGAATCATGGCCATAAATTCAAGCACATAAGAAAAATTCCTTTATTTTCAGGCCAAATTGAATTCTATTTCAGGTTGTCATCCTGTTAGGCTAATAAGAAACTTAATCCCAGCCCTTCCTGAAGCCTCCCAGCTTCTCCGCACACAAGTGTGCCACAGTTCCAGAACTGCGGATAGTGTCAAGGTCCTTGTGGGCACAAGTGAGAGAGCTGATTTTTTTATTTACTTAAGTTTGTGTATTTGGTTGTTTGGTTTGTCGTTGTTGTTTTAGGCAGAATCCCACTGTGTAGTCCAGATGGCCTTAAATTTACAGGAATCTTCCTGCTTCAGTGTCCTGAGTTTGGAGATTATAATCTCTCACCAGTATGCCTAACATGATTCGTGACCGTTGGTCGCCAGGGGCCCCTACTGAGAGATATCCACTACCATCTTCTCATCACTCTGAGGCTGGTTGCTAGGACTAATGTAGATATCTCTGCAAGACCACAGTGGACAGTGACTGTAGAGATGCACACCATGCTTATTTTCTTCTTGGAAACTTTCTGCCTTCCAGGCTGCATTTCCAGGAAGCAGGAGAAGTTCTCCTCTGTCTCAGGACCCCCAGACCTTACTGTCTTCTCCCCAGGCTCGAGCTCCTCTTTCTAGTCTCACATCAGTTCACTTTATTCATTTTCTTGGGGCTGAAGTCTCTTTATCCACAGTCTAGTCTTCTTTCTTTTTCCTTCTTTCCAATCAGAGTTCATGCATTGAAAGCAGCTTCCTAAGGCTTCAGATCTTTCCACTTTCCAACCACAATGGGGATGGGCACTCTAAACATTCAGTGACCAATGATGTAACCACTGACTGGTCAGGCCAGATACGACAACCAATCAGAACAGTTTCTGTGAACCACCAATCACTGTGGCCATCCTGGAGGGCACCAGCTGCACATTGCCTGGACAAATGATGTCCTTCCCTGGGCGAGCTGTCTGATGAGGATTTGAGAAAGATGAAATCCAGGGAGATGAGAGAGAGAGAGAGAGAGAGAGAGAGAGAGAGAGAGAGAAACAGAGATCAGGAATACAAAGTATTATTCTCTTAGAAGCATTCATTTTATAATTTATAAAGTACTTTCATAAACATTACTTGAATTCATGAATACATAAGAACTGACCAAGATGTGGAGGGAGGAAGAGGAAGAGGAGGGAAGAAATCAAAACAATGAAGATGCGAGGGGCCGGTGAGATAGCTCAGTGGTCTAAAGCGCCTGCCTAGGCAAGCATAGGGACTGTGGTCCAATCCCTGGCACCACATGCTGCACCAGCTGTGCTCCCAGAGTGGGTTGAGCCACCCACAAAAAAGAAAGAAAGAAAGAAAAAGAATGAAGGCACCAATTCCCTGTGATGGGTGGAGTCATTATGGACTGCAAGTATGAGCTAACAAAAAGGCTTAAAAAGTCAAAAATAAAACCAATAAAAGAAAGTATGAGAACTGAAAGCAATTCTTTTTTTTTTTTTTTTTTTTTTACTAAACGCATTCATCTGATGCAAATTTAGTTGCTACAGTAATTTAGAAAAAATAAAAATAAAACAGCATTCCTGCCTTGGGAGCTTTCAGTCCACTAGACACGTTGGACAATGTGACACTGATGGCTATTTCTCTAGGATCTTTTCATCATGCTGGCTAACAGGCATGTGGATGTTTACTTGCATGTCTCTTATCAAAAATGATGTGAACATTTAGTTAAATGTCTAAGTTCTGAAATCCTCACTCTTCCCTGAAAATGTTGTTTGCTTTCTAGCATAGCCTTTTCTTTTCTCTCAATGACACTGCCATTTTCTAAGACTTAAAGAAGAGAAATGCTTACTGTTTCCATTTGCTTCTCCCCAGGAAGCCTGTGCCACACAGATTTTGACTGTTTTGTTCAGTGAAATGCCGACCACATATTAAGTGTTCAAGAATGTTCATTTATTGAATTGATACAGTAAATATTTATAGATTTTCATGTTTTATAATTTAGTTTTTACTATCAATCCTCTTATACGAGAAATACCATTGTATTAAGGTGGGCCAGCTACCACAACAAAGACAATTTGACTGTCTTTCATGTAATAAATAGTCCAAGGGGAGTCACCAAAAGGCAACCGTCCCAGGGGGAGTCAGGGTCTTATGTTCCTCCTATCTTGTGGCTCTTCTTTGCCTTGGGCCTCAGGATTTTCTCCTGGATCCTCTACAACCACCTCCACAGAGAGAAAGTCTAGGACCATGGAAGTGATTCCGTGGGGCCAGGGCGGAAGTGGCCGACATCCCTTAATGTTTACGTCGTATTGGTCAGAACACTGTCGCATGGCCACACCTAATGCAAGGAGGACTGCGAATAAAGTCCACACACCCTCCAGGGAGGAAAGGGAGATGAGCTGCCACAGTAGCCATGTTTTAAAGAAGAAAGATGAGAACTAAAGAAGTTAGATTACTTTCCTTGTATCTTACGGTCAGTAAATTATAACACTAGGATCAGAACCCTGACGAGCTTCTGTGGAGAGTCCTTCCTGGTCCTTCCCACGATCTAGGAAGTTTTTGTTTGTCATCCCATGACAACTTATTGGAATCCTAGCAAGTGAACTCCAATCTCCTGTTTCCAGTGTAGCCCATTGCCAGAACAAAGACACTAAGGTATATTTGTAGTTGTGGGGAGCCACGGGGGTCCTGGGTCTATCTAGTAAGATGGCTGACTGGAACAAAGGCCTCAACCCAGGCCTTTACTAATTCATGAAGAGAGGAGTGGCTCTAGGATGAGTGACTGAGAGTGGCAGGAAGTAGGTGAGTGCTGTGAGCTGGGCAAGAGGGGAGGCCCGAGGTCACCTCTGTGATAGGCAGAGAGAAGGAGCTGCAGCAGGAGTGATCTGCATAACACAACCCAGGAAGTATCTAATGCTCAGGGGAAGGCGCTTCAACTCTGAGGTATAATCTTATATGCCCAGGGCAGTCATAGTCCCTGATGTCCCCTGATCTCAGTGGACATCATGGAGCCTGGTTCTCCATCCTGTGGGGCTTACCCATGTTGTACAGGAGCTACAGAGATGCGGTCACACTGCCCTGTTGCCTTGTGTCAAACACTACACATCAGCACCTTGGCTGGACCGACTTGCTCTACTGAAAGCCAATTAAAGGAAGAAGGAAAAGTCCTAGCCAGCCCTGTACACATCAGCCCACGGAAAGAGAGCCTGGGTGAGCCAACATGGAGACACCTGCTTCTCTTCGAGGAGAGCGCCCAAGCTGGTCTCCGCAGCCCTCCACCAGGCTGAGCTCCTTCCTCCTTAGTACACTGCCTCTCTGAGTTTTCACTTGAACCTCTGCCAATCAGCCTGGACTTTTCCTTTCCAGCTGCCACTGAACAGGGATCCTAGGGCCTTCTTGCCAGGACTCTGATGTCCTGAACAAAGAATTGGACAAGATACACTGAGAAGACAGCCAGGGACAGAGTTGCTGAAAGCAAAAGAAGATCCAGTTGCACAGGACAGGAGCCAGCTGGTGACGGAAGGTTCAAGGTGGCCTGTGGGTAAAGGGAAAAGATCTTTTAATATCCAAAGTATACCAGGGCTGGCCCCACCTCACATAACTATGGTTAGTGGGACAGTTGTCCTATCAAAAACTATTGTTGCCCTCATGCCAGACGTTATGTACTATGTCTAATCCTTAGGAAGGATTCTTCCTAAGGATTAGACATAGTGCCTTTTCATTGGTCAGGTCTAGATCTAATGAAGGATTAGGAATAATGTCTTCTGGTTGGCCTCACAAACAGCCCTAAATTCAAAGAAAAGGTGAGGGACAGTTTCCTGATTGGTCCAGTGAATGGTGCCCAAAGCCCTAATCCTGGAGTCATCCGGGTGCTGTGTTCTCACATCCTCCCCACTCTGACTTCTGGCCCTTTTCCTCCCAACCCTAATCTCCTACTTCATGCCTCCTTCCGCATGGAACCCGGCCATTCGTTGCTCACCTCTCAGTTTCTACATTTCTGCCTGCCTCTTGACCAGGACCTACTCAAGGCTCTTAACTATCCTCTCCCTTCCCCATGAGAACCTGTCTTCTGCCATCACATGCACCTGAAGCTACAGCGGCCCCTCACTAATTCGCGGCTTGACTTGTGTGGACTCGCTGTTTCACAGGTTTTCAAAACATATTAATCTAAATTAATATTTATATTATCGTGAGAACCGGCCAAATAGCTCAGTAGATTAAAACACCTGCAAGCAGGTGCAGGGGCCAGGGGTTCGATCCCTGGGCCTGCCACGCCGGCCCTGCCCCCGGAGCACACTGAGACTACAATTGAGACTGGGCATGGTGGCGCCTGCCTGTAATCCCAGCTCTCGGGAGGTTGTAAACAGGCGGATCACAATGAGTCCAACCTAGTAGTAAGACCCTGAACACCCTGTAGGCCCTTCCCTAAAAATACAAAAAAAGAGAAATAAATAAATGAATTATATTGTGGATATTTTGCTGTATCATGCAGGGATTACAGGTTTGCACCACCACACCTAGTCTCAATTGCCATCTCAGTGCTCCCCGGGGGTGGGGCAGGGCTGGCACAGCAGGCCTGGGGATTGAACCTGCAGCCCCTGCGCCTGCTTGCAGGTGCTTTAATCCACTGAGCTATTTGGCCAGCCAAAATACACTGTTTACAATATGTATTTCTTTAGCAGATGAATACATATTGTACCATGCCATATACATATATTGTTAAAATTATGTAGGCTTACAAATTTAGAAAATGGTTAAAAATATTAGAAGTGTTTCTAAAATTGTGGGAAAGGTTTATAAGAATGTGGGCAGCATTTATAAAGCCTTAAAATATAAATACTACATTAAATATTGTTTCACTACTTCTGTGATTTTCACTTATTGCCGGTTGTCTGGAACATAGCCTCTGCCAAAAGGGAGGGACCGCTGTACTTCATTAAGTCAGGAATTCTTAACCCTTCTCTTCTAATAATAGATATAACTTCTAAAAACGAATTACCAGGACTCTGAACATGTATTATCTCTGTCACTCCTCAAAACAACCTCATAAAGATATTATGACTTCCCACATTTTACAAGCGAGGCCACTGGCGTGGGAAGGTTTGTGGTCCTCACTCACGTGGTGGGGTCATTCGGTAGTGAAGTAGCAGAGTCTGACTGCAATCTGGGCTAGACTCACTGCCCAGCACAGGCTCCTGCCACATGGCGACCAGGCTACTCCTGAGCCTACACCATGCCCTCTCTCCCAGGCCTATAGGGTAGACCAGAGATCCTATCAATGACAGCCTTTTATTTTATTCCCTTCCCACTCCTGTTCTTCCTGTTCTGTGTAACATTTAAAGGCAAGCATTTGCTGATAATTTTAACTACCATTAGGCCTGTCTCTCTGAATAATCTAATGCTTTAGGCCAGAGGTGACGACCCTGTGGCATACCTGTTGTTTTTCTTTTAGGGAAAAAGATGTTAACCAATGAGTTTGTTTTTTCTAATCTGAAAAACCTCAGGATACTAGCTTATTCAAAGTGTTGGCACTTTTTGATAAATAAGTGGGCTCGAGGTTGCAGTTTAGACACTGGGCTTGAAAAGGTTCGTGGATGCTGGATTAGGCTATCTCTTTTTGTACATTCCCTCTGTCTCCTGAACCCTGGGGCATTTTTCTTTAGAAAACTAATATAACTGAGCAGAGACAGGTTGGCGAGGCAGAAACCAGGTGGGAGGCCTATTTTCGGCTGTGCTCATGTCGTGGGAGGAACTCCCAGAACTCCCTTGATGCTGGGACTTCCCAGGCATGCGTTGGAAGCATGGCAGCGATTTCTGTAGGAACAGAAGTCCTGCGAAGGAGTTCCGTGAGCTTGTGTGTGGTGCACTCACTGTAGCCCTGTTCACACACGCAGTGACCTTTGTTGATGGCTTTGGGAAAGTTGCCGAGAATCAGAGCTCGCCAGTCGGTTCTTCTCCCTCTTGATTATATTCTGTTCTGATTGGCTGCGGGAAGTTGCACAACCCCTTGGAATGTGCTTTGTGCTCCCAGCTGCTTTCCAGAGGCAAAGGATCAAGTCAACAAGCCCAGTGTTGTAACGTTCCAGCTCAAAGCCTGCCTAGGTAACTCAGCAGAGCCATTTGCCCTTCTGGAAGAGCACAAATCGCGTCTGGCAGCAGGAGTCTAACCAGGACGCAGAGAGGAGGCAAGAGGCTGGAGACCGTTACAGATCAGCACCCACGTTGGTGCCTGATTCTTGGCAAAGCCACCCCTCGGAGCCGAGGAGACCGTTAAGTCATGAGGCTCGCTGCCATCCTTTTCCTCTTGTGCTTCAGGCTGCTCGCAAGCCTGGCCCAGGAACCAGACTTCCAGGAAACTGGCTGTGATGACAAGGATGTGTTTGAGGCTGTGGATGTCGCTCTGAAGAAGTACAACCATGAGAGCCCCAGTGGCAACCAGTTTGTACTGGTCCGCACGACTGAGGTCACCAAGATGGTGAGTGAGAAGGATGCGACCTTGAGGTCACCTAGGATTTCTACTGATTGGGAACCCAGCACTTGATCTCCCTGTCCCTCTCCCCTTCTCTCTCCGTCTCTCTTTGTCTTGCTCTATCTCACTCTCTTTCTCCCTCTCTGTCTCTCTCCTGTCTCTGTCTCTGTCTCTCTGTCTCTGTTTCTTTGTCTCTCTCTCTCTCTCTCTCTCCCTCTCTCTGTCTCTCTCTCTGTCTCTCTGTCTCTCTCTCTCTCTGTCTCTCTCTCTCTCTCTCTCTCTCTCTCTCTCTCTCT